AGAAAATTAAGCCTCGTTTAAATACTGGCTCCCTTTTATGGTCGATCCAGTGTTGCCAGCTAAAACAAGTAAAAATAATATTAAAGTAGCCAAGACATAGCCAAATATTGTAGCGCCACATCACTAGCGGACATTTGAAATTTGCCGACTAGGACGGTCGGTTAACCGAGGTGACGGTTAATCGGGGGTCGGATAATCGATGCTCTACTGTATTTGTAAACTATAAGTTATAATTTATAGTTTACTTTTAGTTTATATTTGTAAACTATATGTTATATTAGTGTAAAAGGTAATTGGGCTGCAATTTAAAAAAATTGTAGACTGATAAATTTCCACTGTTTGTCTATCTGTCTGTCCTTCCTTAATCTCGAGGACAGTGTTAGATAAATGAAAGTCGAGACTAAATATGAAAAGCTTAGTGGCAGGAAGTCCTGATTAACTATATAAAAACTTCAGATCTAGACAAGTAGCCGTGTTATTTCTCAATTCAAAAATTTTCCCTTAAACATAGATAGATGACTGGCATGACTCTATTGTTAAGAGGAAAAGTATGACGCACAGGGGCAAGACACTACTAAAATCAAGGCATATTTTTAAATTAAATAAATTTAAAATATCATTAAAATTGCAGCCCGACAAATGTGACGATTTCATAATAAATAATTGTTTGTAATGGATTTTACAAATTTATTATTATTTTTTTTTTTTACAGTTTTACAAACTTGTGACTGATAGCAGTTTTATGTAACTGAAAAATTATTACAAATTATGAAAATATAAATATTTTTGTGATTAAAGTATATTATGTAAGACTCCCATATGAAAATTTTGATTAGAAAATGTTGCTTGAAGTAAAGAAAACATGTATTAATTGGAATTCTTTTTAATTCACTGGGGAATTAAATTACGAGGGTATGATACTGTGGAGAGAAAATATATGCTTAATAGAGTTACAAACATTATTAATTAAAAGCTAGATTCAAAGGAAACACCGGATATTGGTTTGATGGATTTTGGTTACTTATTTGAATTTTACAGCAAAAAATATCTATTTCCTGTCTTTTAAATATAATTAATGTAAATAAACTCGAAACTAATTGACTTTTTTCAAATAAGAAAGTTAATTTAGAATAAAATTTAGCGCAAAATTTATGTCATTCGTGATATTCAGCTTTTCGTCATTTTGGTCGTTAATGTCTCCAGTTGCAGTTATATAAAGTCTGCTTCAGAATGAAATGAAATTAGGTTTACACTGTGTTCATCAGTTAACTTTTCGGAATGAATTTATTTCTGATATTCTCAATTATAGTTGAAATTATAAGTAGCAAAGCGAAAGGCAAGTAGAAATTTAATTTTATAATTATATAAAAAAAATTCAATATTTAAATAATTACCAAAATGTTTACAGTATATCGAAAAATTTTAATTCTGGTAATGTTGCTAGCGTAAGATCCTATCTTTTTATAATAAATTATGCTTATTTCGTTAAGATTTTTATTTTTAAGTCATTTTTAAAAGTAATTTACGTCCTTATAATACTTTTTATTGAACGGAGCTGTTCATAAGTGTTTTGTCTGTGCTCGAAGTTTAAAACAACTGCACGATCCCTAAACATGTTTTTTGCAATATGCAAAACTCGACAAGGCGGATAATTTTTAACGCTTTCCGCCCTGTGGGCACTAAGAGGGACTCATTTTAGCAAGCCCATTATGGATTCGGCCAGGCTCACAATGGTGCGACTGGGTGGTGAGGGATGGGGACCAACATATGCGGTCGGACCACCCCACGAAAAATTCCTGAAGCTATTTCGACCCGTCTGGATTCTATTCCGGGTCCCCCAGAGAGGTAGACTGCCACCTTGACCGCTCGGCCATCCGGCAAGGCCGATACTGTGACAAAACCGGAATTTTGAAATTCGATCTATGGGTTGAGATATTCGAGGTCAAAGTTCACCATTTAAAGTCTATGGGTCGATTGCTAATGGTAAACTGGTCGCGTGCTACATTTGAATCGAATATACGATCACTATCAGTTTACATCGATGTTTCTCAACGGGGGCGATACTACGTAACGGTTTTATTGAAGGGGCGATACTACGTAACGGTTTTATTGAAGAGGGCGATACTACAATTGAAGGGGACGACGGTGATCAATGTAAAGTTTACATTGATCTTTACCACGTTTTTTTATTTTAGATTTAGATCAGTTTTAAACCCATTTTACACAAATTTAGTTTTATAATCAGTTTCATTTTCCTAGAAAATATTTAAAATTATATAATTATATTCACTAGAAATATTTCATGTCTTCTTATTCCTAATCTCGGCCCACCATTGGCCAAATGGTTCCGTTTCCTGACCACTGGGAGTTTATTTGTGGGTTCGCGTCTCGGCAGGACGTGGAGTTTTCCGGTTTCTCTCTACGACTATAACGCCTGCATGGGGGCCGGTTACCTTTAAGAAAACTGCCCTGAAGGCATTCCATCTTAGTCAGGTGTTGTGTTGCCATAACGTAATAAAACAAACAAAATGTTCCTGATCTTAAATGTATTACTTCAATTCTTCTTTTTGAGTTATTTTAAACACTACGGATGTAAACATCATTTTATTCAAGCATTTTAAAGCTTTTTATAAAAGAGAAATGTTCTATTACTTCTAATTGTTCTATTTTACTTGCTTTTACTACATTTTAAATTTTTTGGGGGGTTCTCTCGCCTGTATGAGTTAATTGTTGTGCTCATCATTTCTACTATATTTACAAAAATTATTATTATATTTATATCAAAATTATTATAAAAGAAAAATATTTGTGTTAATGATTTTTTATTATGCTATTATATACGAGTATATCGTTAATGCTGATTGAAGCCTCTTTGGTTATGCCCCCAATCTCTAACAGATGGCGTTAAAAATGTAATGCTTTTTCTATGGGAGCGTCCTTTTCCAAAAATTCTGAAAACGGAAGTAGATAAAATCAAATAATGTTTTGCGTCAGAATTTTATTTAATTCCTATATTAACATATGGTTCGGAATTTTAAAAACAGAATTCTTTAAATTTCTACAAATTTTCCATTATTTTAAAAATTCTTAAAATTGTTAATATTTTCTGGTTTTGTATTTCTGAAATCACAGTAAATGATTTTTTTTACTATTTTATACACGTTACATCGTTTTTCTTGTTCATGCACTTCAGGAAAAATAGAAAGAAAAAATACAGGAAGGAGGAAAGGATGCGATAGAAATCATCCAAGATAAATGGAGTTAATACATCTAATAAAGTCATTTCATCTGATAAATTACTATTTTGACTGAAATCAATTATAACCATGCTATGTTTGCTATTCATTACTTTTATAAATAAAAATTAAACTTCAAAAATATTTCAATTAGAGTAATTTTTTTAATCCATTTTCAGCGACCTTTGACATACATGGGTGTCATCATTAAGAATATCTAAAATAAGTTTGTCAGGATCTAAGAAGCTTATATACTTTTATGGTAAAGAGACATACAGTATAGGATATTCCCTGAATACCTCTGTCAACAATAGAAAAATCAATTTTAGAGAAGTACATACTTTAACAACGTACAATTATAATTTTATAAACTTATTGTCCCGAATTTTGTAAAGTAGAAATCATTTCCTTCCTCTAATAGACGTAAACTTATGGAAGAATAGAGTATTGGCTATTATGAATACGTACAATCGTGTTCGAAATTCGTAATTTCTTAATTTTATTTCGTTTTGGTAGAATTGTGGGCATAAAACAAATTTAGTTTTTCGTCATTATTTTATTTAGATTTAAAAGTCATCTTCCGATATTTGTATTAGAAGAGAACTTTTTTTATATTTGGAAAAAGTACTGTATATACAAATAATTTTAATTTTTTTCAAATTTTAGTGGGTGAATTAAAGGTAAACATGAAAATGAGTATGAAAGATATTATTTTAGAGATGATTCTATTTCTACCTTTACAGTTAACAATTTAACGCCCTACTAGGACTGAAAAATATCTCTGTATGAGAGAAGTCCCAAAAAGAAGGTTCACAGGACCAAGTCAGACCATTTACGAGATGTTCTGTTCCGAAATTTTCCATAGTTCTATCTGGTTTGTCTAGACATAACCAAAACTTAATTTTATTTCATAAAGATTTTTCTTAACAGTTTGCTAGAATGTATCTCATTATCTGTTTTTACTTTCCTCTGTTATATATAATGGAGGGGAAGTTTGGCAATCGGTCAGAAAATGACACTCACCTCTCAAGATTTTTACATTTTTTGACTCAAGGAACCTTGAAACGCCGAGAAATGTAAAAACAAATTCAAGAGGTATGTATGAATGTTAGTGTATGTGGGGAGCACGATTTTGTTCACCTTCTTTGAAGCTTAATAACTCCTGTGTTTTTTATCGAAAATTTCTGAAATTTTACATGGAGATTTGTGTACCAGGGGATTGATGTTATTAAATTTTTGTAGGTAAAGTTCGAAGGGTAGGGAGATAAAAGGGATTCGTGTATCATATCTTGAGTAGGGTCGGACTTAATGATGATTTCACTCGTTATTACCATTTACAATTTTTATAAAACTCGTCCCTACCCTCAAAATTATGGTTTTTGCCATTTTATAATAATTAAAAATATAAAAGTTTTTAAATAAAATATAACAGATGGCGCCACATACGCAGACTTAAATGTTGTTGGGAAAGTTAAGCAACTCGTTGTGGATGTTTTAAATATGTGAGACTATATGTATTTTTTTAAATATTTTAATTTTGCTGTGATGTACTATGCGACATCTCTGCGCAATGTATTCGTATGTTAGCAAATAACTTTATATTGGCAATAAATACACTTTGCATGTTAATTATAAAGAAAACAACATTAATTTCATAATGTTTTAAGATATTTAACATGCCAAGTCAAACCGTAATGATTGTGATCAAAAGGTTCTCTTAGTGCGGAAAGAGTTAAATCGTTATCTTTCTCTTTCAGGATCAAATTTCTGCGAAAATCAAGATACAAATATTGAAATTATAAAAAGCCAAATTATTAAAAGAAATGTTAGAATGATAAAAGTATTTTATTTGAATAATTCGAGTAAGATTGTTTTTAGTTTATTCAAATGAACATGTATAGAAACAATTTATTTCATGTTTTAATTAATTATTATAGGTAGCTTAGCTTTTTTTTGCCCATTCGTTCAACTTCAGACTCTAGGTGTTAAGATGCAGATATTTTCTACATCATCAAGTAAAAACTTACGTAAATTTGATAAGAAGAGAGGATTTTATTTCAAAGTATTTTTTAAAATTGTTTCACCGTTTCTTACATAAATTTGATATAATTAATTAATGAGAATTTTAATTATCGCAGATTAATAATAATGGAGTTATTAAACGGATAAAATTGTATAAAATAGGACTCGAAAATCTCCAAGGAAAAACACTAAAAGTAGCTGTATTACCAGTGAGTTTAAACATAAAACGATACCATTTTTTTCCTTATTCATTAAGTAACCATTATTACCAGGGGCGGATCTAGGTGTTTCGGGACCTAGGGCTTATTGAAGTCCACTGCGGCCCCATTTTTTGTTAATACAAATAATACTATAAATTATCATTATTAATTATATTATTAATATTAACTATTTTTTACCATACGATAAGTGCTCATTGTTAATGGAAAAGTATTAAAAATGTATGATAATAATTCAATTTTTGTGGGCCCTTGACACTTGGGGGCCCAGGGCTTAAGCCCTATTAGTCCCTATGTAGATCCGCCCCTGATTATTACTACTAATTAACTAATTTAAATTTAAATTTCAGTGGAATTTATCGATGGTTATAAAAATGGAAGGAAATAAAATAATTCCTCAAGCTGGAATAGATTATAATTTACTCAAAGTCATAGCTTCTAAACTGAATTTTTCGTAAGAATGTATAAATGCCATTATCTGAAAGATATTTTTCACTTTTCGTCTTAATTTCGTTAATACGTTTTTAATTAACTTGTTAATTTTGTAACCGAACAAATGAAATATTTATAATATAATAAAATTCTTAAACATTCAACGCTTCTTATAAATTTACAGGTATAGTCTTTTAACTCCCAAAGACAAACAGTGGGGAGTGAAAAAAGAAAATGGAGAATGGACAGGATTAATTGGAATGTTACAAACAAAAGTAAACCTAAATATTTCATCAGATCCTTTCATCTACGTAATATATAACAATTTTTAAAATTATTTTTAGGAAGCAGATATTGCCTTAGCCACTTTATCGATCACAGAGGAAAGAAAAAAGGTAGTAAGCTTTACTCTTCCTTACATAACTCAAAGCGTTACTTTTGTAACTCATTCTCCCCAAGAAAAATCAAAGGCTTTGGCTGTTGTTAGGCCATTTCCTATTCAGGTATGAAATATATATATACAAAACATTATTTTCTCAAATATAAATAAATAAAATATGCATAAATAAAGATAATTATTTATTTTCCAGCTGTGGATAGGAGTTATTTGTACATTTATAATTTTTGGTTTAATTATACATTCGTTTATTCATCTAGAACGTAAGCTAAGTATTAGCCGAATTTATTGGTATATGTTCGAAACACTTATGTTAAAAGGTATATTCATTCGTGCTGATAATTATTTGTAAACTAATTCTGTTATTCTAATAAGGTATTTAAATTTTTTATAGGTGATAGCTGTTATTTTATAGAAACGAGAATTCGCTTTATGATAATTTCATGGTTTTTTGCTGGTTTAGTTTTGACTGCTTCTTATTCTGGAATTCTTACGTCTTTTATGTCATTACCTGGACATTATTCACCGATAAACTCGGTAGCTGAACTTAAAACGGCCCTCTTACAAAATCGTTTACAATGCGGTACTATGATTGGAAGTGCAGAATATGATAGTTTTGTGGTAAATACTATAAATTTATGAGAATTTCATGATCTTATCATAATAATTACTTAATAATTAAATTTATTTAAAATAAAGATTAATATTTAAGTAGCCTAATATGTTAGCTTATATTTTTTGCAAACTTTTTACGTATACAGGATATATAAAAACACTTCACAATCAATTTATTATATTGTATATAAATATACATATATAATGAGCAATTATTTATTGGGCTGAAATTTTTAATCGTATTTTTAATTTATTTAATTTAAAAAGAAATTTTATTTTATATGGTTTACGTTTTAAAAACAAAACATCGTATTGAATTATTTTATCTTTGACAAAAGATAAAATGATAAATTGTATATCTGTATATTTCTCGGCTATTATATATGAGAAAGTACGCCGATCGGTCAAAAATTAAACCTACAAGATTTTTACATTTTTGGATTCAGGGGACATTGAAACAGCGAGAAATGCAAAAAAAAAGTTGAGGATTTTTTTTCTATGGTTGTTAGCTTGTGAGAGGGTGGCACGATTTTGTTTACCCTNTGGGGGCACCATTTTATTCACCCTTTTTGAAGCTTAATAATTCCCGCGCTTTTGGTCGAAAATTTCTGAAATTTTACAGGGAGGTTTGTGTATTAGGTGGATTTATGCTGTTAAATTTTGGTGATTGAAGGTCGAAGGGGTGGAAAGATAAAGTAGGTTCGCCTGTGGGTCGGACTTGATGTATTGTACATTTTATTCGTTATTAGCATTTATAATTTCTTATGAAATTCATCTCTTCTCTCAAAATTAAGCTTTTTGCCATTTTATAATAATTAATAATTTAAAAACTTTTAAAAATAAAATCTGATGGCAGATGGTGCAGCACACAATTTGTAACCTTGCCGGGAAAGTTACGCAACTGGCTGCTGGATTTTTAAAATTATCAGTAATTATACTTTGATAAATAAGACAAATGAGAAAACATTTTTACATTTTACATTACTTTTAAATGTTCAATATTGTTATGTCAGCTTTTTTTGGACCATGCAGTAGGCATGGCGTTTCTGAATATAATTTATCAACTTAATCAATATTATTTAAATTTCGAAATAATTTAAACTTTTTATAATGAGATTCTCAGTATAAAAATGTTTAATTTATTTAAACAATATAAATCTATGAATTCTGATTGATTTATATTGTTTAAATTGATTCATAAGATTAAGTTGTATTTCATTTTTTGCTTTTAAAATTTCAGAAAAGTAAATCAGAAACCATGAAGACAATTGGAAAATACATTTTGAAAAAAGGGAACAGTGGATCATCTGTCACAGATCTACTTACAAAAACATTAGAAGAAGACTTTGCTCTAATCTTGGATCGAGTTGGTGCACTGGCTGCAATAAGTCAATTTGGAGAATGGAAATTTCATGTCTCTAGTGATTCATTTTATAGCAATTCCTTGGCCATAGCTCTTCAACAAAATTCATCATTCACAGAATATTTCAACGAAATGTAAGAATCAAAATTTATTATTTTAGAAATTTCGTTGCAGTTATAAATCTGTTGTACCACTTATATTTTAAATTACTTTGATTATACTATTTATTTTTAGAATTCCAAAATTACTTCAAGCAGGACTGGTCAAAAAGTGGTTCAATGATCATCTATTAAAAATGAAAATGTTAGCCCCTGTACAACAGGATAAACGTGTTCAATGCTTGCGATTAGATGATGTGCAAGCTGCCTTTTATATACTTTTTATCGGATATTTATTGTCTTTGGCTGCACTTTTGGGAGAGTTTTTTTGCAAACACATAATTACCAAATCGCTAAACTGTTCGATTGTCTAAAATATTTCAAATAATAATCATTTTATAAAGAAAATCAACCTCTCACTGAGCATTAAGTCGAAGCGACGTTTATCATGTAGAACGTATTTCAGAATAATTTTAGTTAGTTGGATTTGGGATGTTTGTGGCACAAGGACCTAGGTAGGCCAAAGAGTGTAGTTACGCTACCAGGTCTTTTAGGTCTTAAAATGTCATAATTGTTCTGTTGTATGTTCTAGAGTTCTATATATAAGTTTATTGCCTTCTGATATTCTATTTAATCTTTCTGTTTTACAGTCATTGGCACTATCTAAGCGATGGATCTTAGAAACTTTAAATAAAATAGTTTACACTTTTCAAAATTTCGATAGATATTTCTTAAATAGCACACAAATTGCAAAATTATTAACCACCATTTTAAACAATTTCGGAAGGTTTGCACTATAACCGACAGACTTTGTGACTAGCAATGAAATAGTTCAGCTCATATACTACTTGTCGCGATTTAATGGCACTTGCTTGAAAAAAATAGACGATTTTGTAAATGTTAATGAAAAGATTTCAAAATTTTAAAACGTTATAGTTTAGCAATCTGAATAGGGCTTTAAATGTAACAAAAAGCATTTCTGGAATAGAGTGTTCTTTCAGAACTGCTAAGTCTGAGCAGTTCTGAGTTAGCAGTTCCTGAAAGAACACTCTATTTGCATTTCTGTGTCGAGCAGTAGGCCTACGCTTGCTCAGAAAACAGTGGCAGCAACTAGAAATTTTAGTCTATTAAGTAAAGTAAAGTAAAGGACCCTGCGATACGTAGGGTTTAGCCCCATTCACATTCATGATGTTGTAAAAACGTAAAATTTTTAAATACTTCGTTAATATCCACTTGTTTTCTATTTCAAAAATTTCTTTCATTTTAAAATAGAAATAGTTACATTTTGCTTACTTTCATATAAATTATTTTGTAGTATATAGTAATACCCCGAACTTACGCGATAGGTGGGACCGAGCGGTAACCGCGTAACTCGAATTCGCGTAAGTCGGGGTATAATTTCGCATATAAATACATACAAATAATTTTTAATTGGGGCCGGAGACTAAAGAAAACAATAATTTAGAAAAAAATGTCTAATAAAATCTTAGATAATACATGTGTATAACAAATTAGGCCTATATTATTTGACAATTTTTTACATTTACTTGATTATTACGCAATAATTTTAACATTGTTTCCATCTCAGCGATAATACTGTGACGTTTACGAATGATGCTTGAATTTAAAGATTGAGCATTTTTCACAGCTTCGAGAATTTTTTCTTTGCTTTTTATAATTGTTCTGACCGACAATTCCGGTAGATCAAACTTCTTTGCCAATTCACAAATTTTCATTTTTGTATCGAAGTCTTTAATAATGGGTACGTTCGTAAAGTCAAACGAGTTAAACGCGTTAGTAACGAATCGTTCGAAAAGTCTAACGAAATAGGAATAACGATGACGTCATTCTCGTTTAACTCGTTCGACTTTACGAACAAACCCAATGTTAACTTTACATTCCGAAGATAAAGTTTTTCTTTTCTTGTTTGATGTAGAAGAATTAGTTCTACTTAGTTTGGATGACATAGTAGAGTCTCCGTAGATATAACAAACACAGAAATAAATAACACAAAATAAATTGTAGCTATGTATGGATTCCGCTCGACACATCCGAACATGTAAGCTGAACAATAGTGTGGGGGGAGTGAGTAATCAAGGGTTGCGTGGCGCTCAAACAAAAGACGAATCGACGAGATTTGACAATCGCTTAACTCTGGGTTCGCGTAAGTCGGGGTATTACTGTACTAGTATACAACTTAAGTCGTGTTTAAAATTTTGCCACTTAATAAAAACAGAGGAAAAAATCGATGTAGAATGTAATATCATGCCAATTAATGGATTTAAATAAAAATGATTTTCATCAATGTGTAGGTAAAAACTCAAAACATGTAGTTTTAATTGCTGCAAAACAGTTTTAAAATGCTGTTTCATGAATAAAAAATAACTGTCAGCGTGATGTGAATTATCATTTGTTTTCTTAAATCTGAAATAGAAGACTAAATAAATGAGTTTTATTAATTCGAAATACTTTTTTTCTGAACTCATTGTGTGGTATTTTAATTATTTTGATAAGTCGCACTATCGTTCAAAATTAGTGCTACTAATTTTTTCACAAACTTTAAATTCTCCAATAAATATTCATTCGTAATCGACTTTGTCTACTTAATTAAAAAATTTATTTGTAGATTAACTAGGGATTATTCGCCCACTTATTCAAAAATTTAACGACAATTCGTCGATTTTACGTCCCATTTTAAGAAATACCCTATTGTAGTGTGAATATCTTTAGAAATACTCCTATTAGTATTTTTTATGAAGGAAAAAGTATGATAACGATTTTAAGTTAATTATTTTTATATATATAGGGGAATCTGGGACAGAACTTTCTATATTTTTTTGATCAGTGAGTAATATAAACTAGTGGGAACTGCAAAACCTTAATAACAGATTTTAAAGCGCATGTCTGCATTGTCGAGGTCACTGTGAGTTGGCAAAAACGTTCATCACCTTTTCTAGCAAAATATTGTAATTTTATTCTCACGGTAAGTCATGTTAAATGTTATACTCACTGCTATTTATTTAATATTGCACTTTGAAGTGTATATTTATATATTTATATCGTATCGTTATTCTTCAGTTTCTAACATAGACTAAACATAACCATTGCGGTCGGGGCAGAACCGATTGAACAGTCACATGAATTATGAACCTACAATTTATGTGTTGGAATGGACAGTGGCAATGAACACGCTATTTTCATTTGTGAATTTTTAGGTTAAATTAAAAAATAAAAAAACAGATATTTTTTTAAAATTCAAACTTTAGAAATAAATAAATAAAAGTCACGCCATAAAATAGAAATGATAATAAATAATACAGTCTTTTTCGTAAATGTTGAATAGTGAAAGTAGAGCAGAGTTTCATACAAAACATATTTAATGGGTACGTGAGTTGTAAATATATCAACTAGAATCGTTCCAGCGGAATTATTTCTAAGAATTGGTAAACTTTGATAATATTATTAGAATGAGAGCAGCATTTTGCTTTGAATTCTATTACATAAATTCTTTACAAAGCGAGTTCTTGATAATTTCTGTGTAAAAAGAAATATGTCATGGAGATTCTTTATGAGTTCGACGTTATGAACACTATGACCGTGCATACTAAATTTCATTTTTTTTCTATTTTTTTGAGTTACTTTATAAATCGATTCAATATTTATTTAGAAACGAAAATTAGATTTAAGCTAGTTTTTTGAGCTTCGATTCAAGACTGTTATAGTCTTTGATGTGACGATAATAGTCAATAACAGTTAATAGGGCTACCCTGTAGCCTATAACAATATTGGAATATTTGCCCAAATGTAAGGATTAATAATTAAAGAGAATGATAAAACCTATTGTTTAGGCTAAATTTAGTTTTTATTAGGTCTAACATATTCAGATGACTTTTCATATTGTTTGTATAAAAAGTTATTGTCATTATTCTAATTTGAAATGTTCTCTGTCATATATACAATATATAAATTTTCTTTCATCTATATAAAAAATTTACGCTAAATAAAGTGATAAAATCTGTCATAAAATCTAATTTAATCGTACTTTTCATGTTTTTGATTTAGACAGACATTTAGACGTTGTTTCAGGGTGTAAACTGGCATTATAAGAAATTCAATATTTGAAATTCTTTTATTTCAATTTCACTATTAAAAAAAGAAATAATACATACATACACAAGTAGTAAGAACAGTTTTGCTAGTAACAATATATTGTTTTAGAGATAATCATTCTTTACGGATATTCACTTCATAAATTTTCTCTTTAAGCGCAATGATAACATTTTTTTATCTATTTTTTCCCCTTCCTTCTTTTACATATAAATATTCTAGAGGTTGGGTAAAACTTAACACAATACTTGTTATCGCGCTTGTAACCAAGCAAATCGTTTATTCATTCTACTTCAGTCTTCAATTAACTTATTTTCTGTCTGCTGGCAAACACCCATTGAGCTTGTACAGTGTTTCTTTACATTCTTTGTACTGTTTTGTGCATTTTGTGTGTCATTATTAGCCTGTCGTCATTATAAATGAGAGGTTCAGTGGAAAAATGGTAAAGTGATAATAAAAAAAAAAAAATGTTTTCACGCTTATACCACTTTTCTAATTACTCCCTCAAATGTAATTGTTAAATAAAACTAACGTGAAATTTACTTAATTACGTAAAAGCTATTTTGATAAAAGGGTTATATTGTAATTGACGTAAAAAATAAAAATGCTAAATAGCGTTTCTATAATTGATAAAATATGCACTATAAAGCAATAAGCCTTAAAGATTTAGAATTAGAAAATTTTAAATACAGACTTAGGCAGGTATTCAATGATCATATTTTTTTCTTTTAATGCTAATAGTATTAAAAGAAAAAGATATGTATGATCAATTACCAAGAGAAAGTAATTAAATATAGGCGTTTACATGATATAATAAAAATAAATAATATCATAGAAATTGTAAATAACTTTTGTGAATAATTAAAGTTTGATAGCGAATTAGAGAATAATATAGACAATAAATATGAATTGCCATATTTAAATGTTAAAGTAGACAGAAGAAAAAGTAAATTAAAATATAGTAAATTTTGAAAACCTTATAATAATGTAAAAAATTAATTAATTTTCCTCTCGAGTTCGATATCTATAAAAAGGAATATGTTTAAAATGGAAGTTCAAAAACAATGGAAAGAAGAGTAACAAAAATAAACAATCAGAAAGAATCAGTTAAATATAAAACGAATTTAAATGGTTACTCCTACAACATTACTAAACCAATGAATTTAAAACATAAAAAAGAAGAAAATTAATGACAAAAAAGTATTATATCGAAGAAACAAAACATAAAATAAAAACTATTAAAGGAACATTTTACGGATCTGAAATACAATAGAACAGCTTCAGTTTTTTATGATCACTGTATAAATAATAATTATAAAATTGATAGAAACAATATTTTAAGCCATGATTTAAAGACTGTTACTTTATAACTAGAACAGTAAATAATTTAAATAAAAATAAAAAAAAACTATGTTTAGTGTAAAAGGTTGGCAAAATTTATGTAATAAAAAAAGATGGCGCGGCATGTGCAATGTTATACCGTAAAAGTTGGTGAATTTAAGCACCGGCTGATAGTTAATGTGAATAGAGAAAGAACGACAGGAAAGGTAAGTAGAGAGTCTTAACAAAAATTTAAAAAATAATAATAGAACGCTTAAAGATCAGATAAGCGAAATGTTTATTAAATAACTGCAGATTAAATCTTTAGAAAATAAATGCCAGATGGCACTTTAAGTGGTTATGTTACAAAACAGAGTATCCTAACACTGCAGTTGGTTTCAGACTGGTAGAATTCTATTTTTTCCCTAATTATGCCAATTTAATAGTGCGTATTTAGGATTGATTTTGAAATAATAATTATAACTCCATTCTGTAGACCGGAAGATTATATATAAATATAGGCCTATGTGTATAATCAAATATGCAAATAACAAGA